TCTTTCGTTAGAAATTGTGATGATTGCCGAGTTGCTTATAAAGATTGGATTTGTGCTGTGTCGATTCCACGTTGTGGTACCACTAATTCAAATGTTATTCCAAGACCAGTAAATCAGAGTCGAATTCCTACTATTGATCAAAATCTCAATCCTGGTGAATATCAAGAAATTCCCCCTTGTATGAATTTATGCTATAATGTGACACAATCGTGTCCACCAATCTTGCTATTCACTTGTCCACCAAATGGCACCTTTAATTCTGTATTATCACTAAGTTATGGAATGATGTCATCTAATGTTAGTGTAAACGGTGAAATTCTATGTAATCCAATGGGCAGTGACTGGGTCATATCGATGGCGATACGAAAAAATGACAGGTCTATAAGATATTGGACATTGGGATTGGCTTATACTATTTTTGGAATTATAGTATTTGGTTTATAGATTGAATTATATAAAATATATATACTTAATTTAAAATTTTTCGCCAAGAAATATGTCTAATAAAATTCTCTTGGTAAGCAGCATTAAATTAATTTAATATCATTAAAAGACATTTAACACATTAGCAATTTCTATTATACGTCATACGTCAATGTAAATTCTTCAATAATTTCTTTTAATAAATGTAATAAATCTATTTTATCAATGTTCTACGTTCTTCAAAATCTTATTTTTTATTATTAGATGCAGCTGCCAATCTCTTTACCGTTTCTTGCTTCACCAATCCTCCAATCTGAAATGCTTTACCAGGTTGATCTCTTAAATAGAATAATTTTGCTCGTCTGAATCCTTCGCCTCTTTGTAAAATTTTAATATTTTTGATCATTGGTGAATATATAGAAAATCTTTGTTCTACTCCAACTTTCAAGATTATATTACGTAAAGTCAAATTTGTATCAATGCCTTGTCTTCGAATTGAAATGCAAACGCCTGCGAAGGAGGAAACTGCTTCGCCTCCTTTGTTTATGTATGTTTCTACCATGATTACATCGCCTACCTTAATACAATCTTTATTGTTCTTATCGAAAAGTTTAGCTCGATCAGATTGTTGTTTAATTTCTTCTTCTGTTATTAAGCTCATTAAATTTTTGCCTTTAATATTGGGAGTATCATTGTTAAGCGAAACTGTATTATGTAAATGGCGAAAGACGAAACCCCCTGACGAAGGGCAAAGCCCCTTGCGGAAGGCAAACCCCTTTGTGAGAGGTAAGATTTCCGGTGAAAAATGAAACCTCTGTAACTTTAATAAAAGGCGAAACCCTGAGAAAGTCATTTTTTTAAATAGATGATCAAAAATTTTTTTGTTAGATCATATGCTGATGCTGATATCTTACGAAAATATGTATAGGTCATATGATTGCACGCTATAACCAGCTCGCGGCTGGAAATGCGTGTGCATGCGACTTTATTTTTATATATTTATACTGAATTTAATTTACCCCTCGACGTTCAAATTTAAAACTAAGTTTAATATAAAAATTATGGTAATACAGCTAATTCTAATGAAGCAAGTCTGTATCGAATATTGAATTTGATGACATAGAAAATAATAATAATTTGGATTAAAAACATTGATAATTTTAATACTAATGATCAAACTATACATAATAAAGCCCATAATTGAATCTTCTATTCAAGCTACGTATAGTATTCAAGGAAAAACTTTAGAGAACTGGTTAATTTTAGAAAATCTCGATAATGTTTAATCATGGCTGAAGCTGAAAATTTGACCTACAGTATTTTATTATGAAAATTTAAAAATTTTTGGGGTACATTTTTTTTGACCTTTTTTTAGGGCTTAATATGGTTAGAATTTATGGATCTAAATTGTTTTACCCCAAATTTTCAGCTTCAGCCAATTTCAGCATCATCCCCAACATTAATTGTGTATACGATAATTTGAAATTTGCTGCTAAAATTTATATTTTAATAAAAAACTAAATATTAAGTCTTTTTTTTTATCTTGGCATATTTGATTTTATCATAATTTATAAGAATATGTTAAAATGGGTTTGGTTCAAAATCTCGAAAACGTAATCCCGAAGAACGAAATCCCGAAAAAAATTGACCGGAATTAAGCTAAC